TATTTGATTGCGAATGATGGCTCTAAAAGTTTATAAGCTACTAAAGTAGACATTTATAGCACCTAGGAGCTCAGTCAGCTGGCATATTTTTAAAGCAAAACTCTGGAAGTGTTCCACATCCCTGAGAAATGGTATGTAGAAATGGACTTAAAGGGAGGAGCTACATGGATGGCTGGCAGATGTAGGTGGTTGTTGCTGCTGCTACTACTATTATTATATTATTATTATTATTATTATTATTATTATTATTATTATTATTAAAATGTATATGCCGCCCAACTCCCAGTGACTCTGGACGGTTTTGTCTAAGAAGCCAGTTAGAGAAAACAGACAGCCTGCTTGTGTTGATCTAAAGGAAGAAGTTTCCTTAACAAGAAATGTACAATGGCAACGGAAGTTTTCACTTCTCCTATTTTACTAGTTCATTCAAGGTTCTCTTTTTATGATCCCTGTTTAGGCAAATCAGTGGAAGATCTTTAAAAATGTGAAATTCGTCTCTATGCGTCCATTGAAATTAGTATTTTATGGATCTGTTGTTTGGTAGTGTTGCTCAGGACAGCTCCAATATTTTTTTAATAAGGATTGGTATAATCAGCAGATGCAATTCAAGAATTGGAACATTAAGTCACATGGACTGGCCTTGTCTTTTTATTTTCAGATTTGTGACTGATATCCCCAGGATTGTTCACATGTGTTTCAACAGACCACTTCATGTCAATTATGTATATACTCTTCTTGGCTGTATCGCTTGTATCTGGAATCAAAGAAAAGGATGATGGAATGTCCACTCATGGGAGGTGGCAAAAATAATTTGTCATGCAATATTGGAAGGATAAATCTATAGTGAATTTGCAGAAATGGATTGTTGGATATGCACTGTTTGTCAACATTTGAATTTTTTTTTCCAACTAAAGTGGAAGTGGAACAGTTTGATCCAAGCTGTTGTAAAGAGCAGAAGCTGTTTTGCTAATGATATACAGTAAATGTAGCTATCTTTCTTTCTTTAATTTAAAACTAACTTGTATGTAGTTAGATTCTTTTAATTCTGCGAGCCAATGCAAAGATGCTAACCTAAAATATGGCAGTTAGATTGGAATCTCCAAACAGGTATGACTTCGCCATGTCTCCACTGCATATCCTTAAGTGGAAATTTATTTCTCCTTCTAGGCATTTTAGCACTGCAAATGTTGATGCACATAAAGAATGATGGACTTAATAATTTATACATCCTTTCATTTTCCCTTCTCTTTCCATGTCATATATGTGCAGTATGCTTTCAGTGGTGCCTGTATCAAGCCACAATGATGTCAAAACAATGACTTGTGCAAATGATGCAATTATGCAACTGTGTTATGGTATCTGACGCAAGTACATTTGAGTGATGATGTCATGACACCCATGTACATCCCACTGGCCTCATCACAGCTGCCAAAGCATACTTTATGATTTTTGATAGAGAGTTTTGGGGACTCATCTTCAGGAAACACATGAGGGAGGTTAGAATGCCAAGGGAGCTAGACTGGTAGCTATCTAATGAGAATCTAACTCCTACTGTTCATATATTCCATATGCATAAAGTGCTGTGTAAAAGATTCATAGTGTATGTACGTGCATTAATTACATGCATAAAATCCTTTCAGTCACCCATCAACTCCCTCACACTTTCTCTGAGGGCATGGAAGGTCGTCTGAACATTCCTTGCATATGTCTGTATGTGTATTACGTATTTATTTTTCTACATGTGAATAAAATAACAATCAATACATCTTTCCCAACATCAACATTTCCCTACTATTTTGTAGCGTACAGCAAAGAGTGTGTTCAGTGTAGAGGCATAGGGAAGGGTCTTGAAGGACAGGAGGAAGAGCTGCTACCAAAACAATGGTCAGATAAGTGGGGCTTGAGCCCGGGCCAAGAAAATAACTTGAGAAATCATCTCAGACAAGCCCCCACCTAGTACAGACAAAGATAAAGTGAGGGAAGGGGGAAGCACATCCAGATTTGCAAGATTCTGTTACTATAGCTGTTACAATAAAAGTAGTTTTAGACCTATATGGCATTGGTTTCTTGGTCTGGCCTACCTTGTAGGGCTCATACAGTAAGCTTTCCTGGTTATTTTAAATGCAAAGTTAGCAGGGCCCCTCCCCTTCTGATGTTAGCTTTGATGCAAGTAAATGGCCAGAAGGAATCTTGAAATTTGTCTATGGAATTGCATACCCTTGAGTATGTTGGTTAGCAGTGGAAATGATGCAGGGCTGTCCACAGGGGGTAAACAAGGTCAAAATGATGGGTGCAACTGCCTGATCCAAGCCCACCCTTTTAATGTGTGCTGCATGCATTGCACATGCGTAAAAGGGGTGCAGTTTCAACACCTGGTTATGGCCACCATTTTGGTGCTGTTGATCCCATGTGCAGACACTTCCAAAATAATGCATGTAGAGAAAAATACCAACACTAGGTGCATCGGTTTTGTAAGAAACTGTACTTGAGGCTGGTGTTGCATGAAAGAAAATCAGCTTTATTTTAAAAGTAATATACTGATAAGAAAGCCTAAGTTACTTAAGCCTGTCTATGGCTGAGAGCCTGTAGTGTGCTCTCTGCCATTGTGGAGGAAGATCAAGGTAGAGGAGAACCTGAACTGCCCACTCAATAGCAGAAGGAAGTTGAGAGAAAGAAAATAAGACAGTTCTGAGAATATCAGTCAAACCAATAGGAGGTATGTTACCTAGAGACCTGCAAATAAGTCTTTTGATGTAACGGGCTGTGCAAATAACCTTAAGAGACAGGAGGAAGAGCCGCAGCCTAGACAATGGTCTGATATGAGAAATCTGAGTCCAAAGCAGGAAGGGAGGTGGAGAAAGCATCTTAGGAGGGACCCTCCCTAGTTCTCTGGAAAGTAAAGGCAGGGGAGGGGGAAGCGCTTTCAGACTTGCAAGATTCTGTTACTGTAACTTTACAATAAAAGTAGTCTTAGTATTAAAGATTCTGGTTTCTTAGTCTGAACTACCTCAAAGGGCTGACATTTAGACAAAGAAAGGAAATAAATGTTCAGAGCCCATTTGCTCTCCCTCCATCTACTGCTCCTAGTGGTCAATAGGTTTGCCCTGCAGAAAACTCACACATGTGAGTTGAATCTCAGCTGATTATTCTGCAGATCCCCTGACAGGAGGGTTAAGATGTGGTGATTTGTCAAGGAAATTGGTTATTAAGTGGATAAAAACAGGTGGAAGAAGATTGGAGGGACAAGGACTGGGCTGGGCTGATACTATTGCAACATGTTTAATCAAAATCATTAATGGATATTTCTAAATCTAGAATAGGCAACATGGGATCTAAAGGTGTCAGGGACCTGGGTGACTGTTGTGGACCTAAACTGTTGGAGGTTGAAGCATTATGTGTGTCTATTTGAGCATTCCTGAGAGGGGAATCTAACCTGAGCAATGATTAGTGAAGCAGATTTTATAACAGACAAGATATTTATTGGCAGGAAATACGTTTAGAGCAGGGTTCCCCAAAGTGGTCGACTCCCAAGGGTCAATGGGACTATCCAAGTGGTAAATGATGTTGTTGTTATTATTATCCACAATACTATTAGTTAAAATAGTATTTATTAAATTATTTTCATATAATAAATGTTTGGGGGTTGATGAATAATCTGAAGTGTCATGAAGGGGTTGATGAGCTGAAGAGTTTGGGGACCCCTCTTCTAGAGATAGGAAAGGTCTTGCACCTAGTTAGCTACATCCTACCCAGAGGAGAGTCCAACAACATGTGCTGAGTGTGTATATGCCTAGGAAACAAGGCAGAAGGAAGTAACCTGAGATTAGCTGCCTCTTGGATAAAGAGCTGGCAAAGTGATAGACAATCCTTAGCAATCTATCTACACCCTGGTATAGAGGTTATGAGGTGCTAAAGAGTCAGTACCATTGGATCTGGATCTCCAACATTGTAAGTCCTTCAAGGTAGGCCTGGTCAAGAAACAGATGCCTCAAGGATTCCAAGAATGCTACTTTATTGTTGTAGAGTATAATAATAGAATATTGAAAGCCAGCCAGAGTTTCCACTTGCTCCCTCTTATACCAAACAGAATCGAGATGGAGTTATTTTGAGTTTTTCACACTTTTCCCAGGACTCGGTTGTTGTTTCCCTCGATTAATGACTTCTGCATTCCTTCATCAAGATTCTTTCCAAGTTCCTCTACAAACATAAACCACACCATGCCCAAATTCATTTAAAATAAAAATAATTTTAAAAATTAAAAATGGACAAAACCTCGCAATGTTATCCACTCTTGTACAATGTTAGCCATCTCACGGAGAAGCTCATAAGAATTTGGGATGAGAGTGCTGAAGTTTTATCAGGTTTGGCAATCTTGTGAGATTTTGAATGTTTTGGAGGGGAAGAGCAGGTAATGGAAAAGATTGCCAACTCCTTGTTGATTTTTAACCCTACCGAATCAGGAAAGAGAGCAGGAGTTGTGACATGAAGTTAAATTCATTCAGTATTAATATAACAGAATACAAGATAATAATGAATGTATTTTTCCAAACAATGCATAAATTATCTAGAAGAGAAGATGTCACCAGAGTTGGTAGAGCTCCCCTTTTCTTAAGTTGTGGCATAACATAGGTGCATTAAAGTTCCCAGATGTTTAATAAATCTGTTTTACTGCTTAAGGTTTTTTTGTTTTGTTTTTTTTTAAGGGAGAGGGAGGGAAATGAACCATTGAAAATTGACATGTTGCTGCTGAATTTGGCAGTGTTATCTTAAGGAGCTTTAAGAATCCAAGAATAGATTTGGGGTGTCATGAAGGCTATCAGCTGCCCAGTGCATCTTAGAATAAGCAGGTCTACTGTAACAGACCCACAACCCATAACAGAAAAATAATTCTGCAATAATGTGCCAGGAGGCCCCATTGCAGGCAGAATTTGGTAATAATTTTCTTCTTTTTTGGAATCCCTCTCAATATATATATAAATATATTTTCCCCATCCTTCTAGGTGAGTGGTTTCCGAACATTCTAAATGAGGGTAAATTTGAGAGATTTTACTTCTTCTTGGCCTCATTAATGATCATGAACACACTGGGCTTCGGGACCATTTCATACAAGTAAGTCTTTGAATATTCAGCTCTTGGCATGTTAGTGTTTTGTAGAGCACATCTGCCCAGTAAGTTGAAGAAATATCCATCTATGGCTACTTTAAATGGTTCCTGTGCAGATAACAGACAATAAACCTGATCCTGTGGTTACATAGTCTATGCTTCTTGTGTAAGATAGGATCTTACACAGATCCTTGAGGAGCAAAAGTTAGAGTTTCATACAAATCCGCTCTAAATTTTCTTCAGCAACACAACTTCATCTCACTCTGGGTGACTAGTCTGTCTCTCTTGCCTGGGAGAGGTTTCTGACCATAAAATGGTCTTCCATGGTTTAGAAGCTGCTGAATCTGATGGTGTGGGATCATGACATTGCTTGGCTCTTTGGAGCATAGTTTTCTCAAGCCAGGATAGTTGGCACTTACACAAAGAAAGTTTGGAGAACATAAAGTTATCCAGGCTGGGGGTTGATGGGTGACTCCATCTTCCACTCTTAAACTTTTTCTGGATACACAACTTTATCCTTCAACATTAAGAATCTGACCATATGTTCCTGACAGCCAGGATGAACCATTGTTTTGATTTAGCAACTCTCCCTTTCTCTCTCTCTCTTTTTTTCTTATATCAGACTTTGAAGACATTAAACATATCCATATATTTTATAGCACCACAAAAGAGGTTTAATTTATTTTTGCTTTGCAGATATAATAATCTGCAGCAAGACTATGATGAAGGATTCAGAGGGAGCCTTCTTCAGGAGCAACTTTTACAGCATGAGAAATCACTTACATTTTATGATAGCATCCTGGATTGCCCCTCTCCTTTGTCCCCGATGGAGACTCTCCTGTGAACTTATGCTCTGAAAATGACTGAGAACTTGGTCCACTCTGTCTTCAGATTATTGTCTGTCAACTTTTAATAATGTGTTCCTTTCTTTGTTTATGGATTGACTTAGCAATAGTGGATTGTAGTTTATCTTTTTCATGTCTGCTTCTCTCTGTAAAAATTATCTCTATAAGTTCAGGACCTACATTTGAATGATTCTAAATCCATACATCTCACTCTTTTTCCTATTAAAGAGTGTTTCGTGGGTGACAGAGCCTTTTAATAAGGCAAGTTGACTTTTTCTAATGTCATGTTCGATATGTAGTACAGGTATCAGATCTGGACTGCAGAAATCCAGACAATGGCATCAAAGAGTTAGATTTTTCTGTATATCTCTTCGCTGCCATCTAGTGGTCATCCAGAGTTTTGCAGACCAGATCTGGTAGCCCTGTATGTACAGAAACATCTATCTCTAAAAGAGTCTTTCAAACGGAAAGTTGTATAGTGGGAGTTATAAGAAACTTTATTAGATCCAAAGTCATTTTAGAATGAACTAATGTTTCTTACAATTCCCACTGTACAACTTTCCCTTTGGAAGACTATTTTTTGGAGATAGATGTAGCGCTTAATGAAAAAAGAAGACAGTTACTTCTGGAATCCTTGAGTAGAAGCAGGAGACTCCTGTTCCATTAGAGACAGTCCCCTTATAAACTCCATCACACTGGAGTGTATACAAGGGGACTGTCTCTAAGGGAATAGGAGTCTCCTGCTTCTTCTCAAGGATTCTAGAAGTCCATCTCACAGTGACAAAGGGAACGAAAGGTGTATGTCCAGCCAATGTTCAAGTGAATAAGTGTATAACTAATATACTAAAATTCTCATGAGTTATTTACAGGGGCAAGGTCCAGCTCATGAGTTAGAACTTTGCAAAATCTTTTCTAATGACCAAAGTTGAGCTTTGGATGGCAGTCTGAGCAAAAACTTCAGGGTCATGGGATTACCCACTACAGCTACTACCTACAGCTTTTTGGCTTAACTGAACTTTGGGGTCTACCCTTATTGCTAATACCTTGTCTTTGATTCTTGTGCTGACTTTAAACTCTGCCTGCTGCTACATTCTCTGTTCAAACTCTAGGAATTAATCTTGTACTGCCTACTGATTCTGCTGTAAATGATTGAACACCTGCATATTTGCTATAGTTCCTGGCTCACCTGGCAGCCATTGGCTGGATGAAAACCAAGGAAATTGACCATGAACAATGGTTAGCAGCAGTGTGCAGCAACAAGTGTAGAATAATACACAGATCGGTTTAGCATGGAACTCCAAGTTTAGCACTTAACCATTCTTTGTTTGCTGATGTCAAGTATAGCAGTAGTGCAAGGAGAATGTATTTGTACTAGTAAAGCAGCAGGAAGGAGAAAGGTCTACCAGGTCTGGGCTGTACACCCTACCTCTTGCAATAATTTGTGATGGGGACATAGATTTTACCACCAAACAATATATTGTGAGTAATCCTTGTTTGTAATACACCACTTATTTGTTTGGCTTGTTCTTGCAAGGGTAACTAAAGATCTGCTTGCTTTAAAACAAAACTTGCTCTTGATAAAATTGAAAGTGTGAGAACTGGATGCTTTATATTCCTCTCTTTCCCTTTCTTACACCTTTTAACTGGATACTTTGCAAATGCTCTCTAATAATAATGGATTTGGAAGTGTTCTCATGATTGACCATTATGCTTTAATCTGAGTGGGTAAAGAAAGAAAATAGTGCAAATCCAACCTAAACTTAGGGAACATTTGACTGATTGATTGATTACATACCATCAAGTCAGTGTTGACTCTTAGTGATTCCATAGATAGATATACTCCTGGATGATCTTTTCCAATCAGGCCCTTCAGGTCTTCCAGAGGTGCATCCATCAGTGCTGTAAATCATCCATTCACCTTGCTGCTGGTTGCCCTCTTCTTTTCTTTCCTTCCGCCTTTTCTGGCATTATGGACTTCTCAAGAAAGTTAGGTTTTTGTGTCCAAAATATGCTGATTTGAGCCTGGTCATTTGTACATCAAATGAGAACTGTGGATTGATTTCTTCTATGATTCATTTGTATGTTTTCTTGCCTATCCATAGTGTTCTCAGGAGTCTTCTCCAATAGCAAAGTTCAAAGTGTCAGTATTCTTTGTATCCTACAAAAAGTCCAATTTTTGCTTTCATAGATTGTCAAAAGGAAAGCCATTGCTTGCTTGCATGATTCTGATCTTTGTCGGCATAGACATATCATGGCATCTGAATATCTTTCCAAGGCTTTCATTGCTATTCTATCAAATGCTAGTCTGCGGCATATTTCTTGAATGCTTGTTCTTCTACTGTTGATAGTCCTAAATGACAGAAGCTCTTCACCACTTCAGTATCTGCATGTCAGTTCTAAAGCTGTTTGCTGTACCTGTTGTCATCGCTTTGGTCATCCTTATATTTAAGGAGAACATATACCTAAGAGTCCCCTTCATGGATCACTGCCTTGTCGTGGCGAAGGGGCTTGCGTAACTCAGTGAAGCCATGAGCTATACCGTGCAGGGCCACCCAAGACAAATGTTTGAAGAAAAGTTTTGAACAGAGATCCTTCTCCCCACTCCATCAACAAAGAATACTAAACAATAGCATTGCAGAAAAATGTAATCTTCAGAAAAACGCTAAGAGTGTGATTTTTAGAAGTGACTAAAGAAAAGGAAACATTAAATTGCCAGGACAGGTCAGTGTTCTGTTAATAAATGAAACAATACATTAAAAAGTTAAAGTCCTGGACTTTTATCCCTTAGAAAAAATCTCCACTATATTAAAACCTTTAAGCAGTTCCATTTATTACGAGTCAAAATTTTCTGTTATCCAACTAATTAAAGATAATCCTCTGCACTTTACCCAAGACCTTC